AAAAAAAAAAAAACACATCTTAGTAAAACCAATACCTTCTCAGCTTCGCATCGAAGCTAAAAAAAAATAAAACACATCATAGTAAAACCAATGCCTTCTCAGATTTGCATCGAAGCTAAAATGAATTGTTTAATTTAAAAAAATATATTTGAAAAGTATGTAAACAATCGTCAGTTATTCATATTTTCAAGAATATCGTATATTTTAGCTTATACATTAATTATAAAAAAATAATTATAAAACTACTCATTCAATTCAATTACACATTACATTCGATTTTTAGCTTCGATGCGAAGCTGATAAGGTATATTGGTTTTACTAAGATGTGTTTTTTTTTTTTTTTTTTTTCTGTTACCACTTTTTCTCAGCTCTCACCGAACCGATTTCTTTCAATGATACGTCAAAAGATCACAAATCGTATCTAGTCGAAGACATTATCTTCAAAAATTGAAAAAAATTCCCTCGTTCCCCTTAAATGGGGGAAACCTCCAAAAAAATTACAAATTTAAAAATCGCTAATTTTCGAAATTTTTTTTACTTAAAATTGCTATAACTTTTTCAAAAATTNTTAAAATTGCTATAACTTTTTTAAAAAGTTTTTTTTTATATAGATGCATGATATCATTACCTTTCATTTGGTGTATTTTTTTTTTATATGTAACCCTTTACTTGCCCACAGGGGGGGATTTAAAATGACAACTTTTTCAACTTAACTTTTGAAAATGTTCCGGAAAGTCTGACACTTTTATATATATCTTAAATTAAAGCTAATGTAATATACTTTATTATGCAAAAAAAAAAATTTCGGACTTTATTTTGTCTTCACGGTGAAAATGGCTACCGAATGCTATTTTTGTGTGAAAATTCTCGATTTCATATTTTACATTTTTAACTTTATAATATTATAACTTATTGAAAAGTGTATGGATCAACATAATTTTTTTATGAGAAATAATATTTTTTAATAATCCCTTTTTCATTCGACATACTTTATCTTAATTAGGATATTAATAATGAACTAGCAGATCATGTAGCTTTTGGAATAGTCCACCAATTTTTTAAAATTAAACAGTATCTAAAGATTTGCATCGAAGCGTTTTTTTTTTATAGTGATTTTAATCACTGTCAGATATCATTATACTTGATCCATCTATACCACGTCACCACTGTGCTGGGTTTTTTTAAATTAAAGCGCTATTTATCATCAATTCCCTAAACCAATTTCTTTGAAAAAGGAACCATTTCTCAATTTTTAAAATTAATTATTTCAAAATTTGAATTTTTTGTACTTTGATCCAACCAATTATTAGTATGAAATTTATATAATTTAACGTATTTTCCTTTCATAATGTATACAGTTTATATTATTTAAATCATAAATATTCCAAAATAATTTTCTAAAATTTTATATAGATTAAGAAAAAGGATGTTTTCATTTGATTCATAAATTAAACTTATAATATCATGAAAATAAAATATAAATATACTATGTACATTTTATTTATATTTCTTTAAAGTTACGCTCAGAATCTATATTTTATATAGGTTCTGAGCATAATTTTACCACAAATCAAATTGCGACACTGATTTTTATTCAATATAGATTATTTAGTCTTTATTTATATATTGGTATTAATATGTATTTTTAGAAACACTTAATGATGGTAAAGGTATAAGCATTCACTAGAAATCTGGTAAACTGTTTTGTGCAAACTCCTTAGTTTTTATCATATGAATGCATTTTTTCATACCCCTAAATGTTTGTTTTAATTGCCTTTCCATTTAAGATTTACAACTATTTTCATTGTAGAACATTGACAAATGTGTAATAATAAATATTTAACATAAGTTATATTTTTAAAGATAAACCAAGTGCACCACGAGGGCCAATGAATATTAAAGAAATTAACTCAGAGTCAGTAACTATTGCTTGGGATGAACCAGTTGATGATGGTGGTTTAGATATAACATTGTATCAAATTGAACGATGCAATGTTGGTAAGATGATATGGTCTAAGGTGGCAGATGTTGGTCGTGAAGTATCAGCCTATAGTGTTCAAAAACTACATGAAGATTCTGAGTATATGTTTAGAGTGAGTGCTCAAAATGCTATTGGAATGTCTGACTTTTTAGAAAGCGATCCTGTTACTGTTAAATGCAGATACCGTATGTATAATAATTACGTATTATTGGTGTATAGTAATAGTTTAAAAATAAAAAAAAACTCGTTTTTAACTTAAGATATTGGAGGATTAAATCCTTTTATTTGTACCAAATAGCAAAAAATTATATTTTAAATGTTATAACATTTCATTATTTTGTAAAATATTATTTTCACATATTATAAAATTTATAATTAAAATATATTTAAAAAGCCTATTTTTTTTTTTTACTAGTGAACATTTATATTAAAAATGTTTAATATTTAAATTTTTTAAATTATAATGTATTTTATAAAGCACATATAACTCATAATAACGTTATTTGATTGTATTAACATAAATTAACCGATAAAATAATGTATTATTATTAACATTGTCTTTTTATTTACAGATAAATTTTAATTATTATTTTATAGTATTTTTAGGACTTCTTTTCCTTAAAACTTAGTAGTTTTGATTCAAGACCTTATATTCTATGTACTAAAATTATAAAATATAAGAAATACCTAAATAAGTTAGTTAAGTTTTGTATGACACACAATTTTATTAAATATTAACACTTTTCAGACAAACCATCAGCACCACAAGGACCATTACAAATAACTGGTGTCACTGATACATCATTGACAATCGCCTGGTTACCACCGTTTGATAATGGAGGAATTGAAATTGAAGACTACTGTGTTGAAATAAAAGAAATAGATAAAAAAGCTTGGCAAAAAGTATGGTTAAATTTATAAGTAAATTATAAACTATGAAAACAGTAAATTAAAGAAAATATATATTTTGGATTAGATTGAATCTAATAAAGATTTGCGTGTAAAAATAAACGATCTGAAGAAAGGTTCTTCTTATAATATCAGAATTACAGCTAGAAATCATGTAGGTTATGGTAAGCCTTACATTCCTGAAGAACCTATTGTAGCTGGAAATCGCATAAGTAAGATACAATTGTTGTTAATTAATTACATTAATCACTAATACATTAATCGCTGGCAATTAAATTAAATTTAGAGATCAGTCAGGCTAAGTCACCTTGACCTTTAAGTAGATTACAAATTAAAAAATTCACATTTGTCTAGATTAAATAAAGTTATATAATTATTACTGTATGAAAAAAATGTTTGTATCACATTGTTGTTTTTAATGTTTTTACCGAATTGTCTTTACTTCTCTTGATTTACAGTAAAAATTCAATAATTCTTATAAATTTAGCAATTCATTTAAATTTATTTTAATACTTGTTATTTTATTTGTTTCAACAATCTGTTTTCATACAGGCTTTAGAAATGGTATTTCTGATCAAACCCTTTATGTACTTATGGGTATATTCCCTGCTAAATCTAAAGTATCAGGTAAAAAAACTGTCAGCATCGATTGTTAATTTTACAAAACAACTTAAAATACAAAACTACACCTTACTTATAAAACAATTATCCTCAATGGAATGCTTCCTTTTAATCTTTTCTTTACCCTTATCACAGAATGCATACTTAATAATAATTGTTATTTGTTTTTTACTATTCTTCAAAGTATTAATTGTATTTATTTTTGATAGCATGTATTATTATTTATTCAATTAATGTTAATAGTTTACTTATATTATTAGTTTATTTATTTTGTCTAAGTCCATTAATAATATAAAATATTCATTATCATTATTTTGTTTAATTATAGCTTCTCCATCACCCCCTACTAATTTCACTGTGACTGAAATAGCAAGTAAAAGTGTGGCTTTATGTTGGGGACCTCCTGAAAATAATGGTGGTTCAGAAATAACAGGTATTTCAATTAAATGAGACATTGTACTAATGATTCTACTGTAGTCGTAAATTTTTAAGATAACAATAATTTTAAAAGATAGTTTTTAACATCTATGAATGTTAAATGAGAATACATGCTTATTTTGAAAAGATTTAGTTAATTTATTATTTGATTTTAAGGCTATGTCATTGAAAAACAACTTAATGGAACAAATCAGTGGTTTAAAGTAGCCACACTTGACCTATTGGCCTCACATTATTGTGTTGAAAACTTAAAAGATAAATCAGAATATTTCTTCAAAATTTATGCAGAAAATTCCGTAGGACTTAGTGATCCAGTTAAATCAAAACTAATTAGTTTGTTGACTCATGCAAGTAAGATATTCAAAAGAATTAATTACATTAATTTAGACTACTTAATCAACACTCAGAATTATTTAGCTAATTGAATAAAAAGTTATGTAAAGTAATTTTCTTATATACTATAAAATGAAATTTTAATAGCTGTGCCATCACCTCCAACTGCCCCGTTAGAAGTACGTAACATTAGTGCTAACACAATAATTGTTGAATGGGGTGTACCAGAAACTGATGGTGGTGCACCACTAAAAGGATATAACATAGCAATCCGTGATGAAAAGAAAACTATGTGGATAGAAGTCGGTAGAGTCAATGCTGATATACAAAAATTTAACATTAAAGATTTACAAGTGATTAATTTTTTTTTTGAAAAATAATTCACTTAATTTCATAAATTTTTTTCTTTTTTCAGGAACATCATAAGTATAATATAAGAATATTTGCTAAAAACGAAGTAGGTCTTAGTGATCCATTGGAAACTGAAGAACCATATAGTGTACAAAAACCAACAGGTAATGTTTATTTGTTTTTGTGTTGACATTAATTTTAAAAGAGTGTTACACCAGAAGTTGAAATATTAAATTTTTAATAAATTAGTTTTCTTATATTTCCTCAGTAAAGGTTCATTTTAATGAAAAATTAAGAGTTAAAAATGTTTAAAATTTTAAGGATAATATTTATTAGTGCTTACTTAAAAAAAGTAAGTAAGTAAAGGATAAGATGAAAGAAAATAGACTTGGATGGTTTGGTCATATTATGAAAAGAGATGAATCGGAAGCCATAAGAACAGTTGAAGAAATGAATGTTAAAGGAAGAAGAGGTAGAAGAAGACCAAAAAAGAGATAGAGAGATGTTATCGAATGAGATATGAAGACAGCTGATGTGAACATAGATGATGTGGGAGATAGTGTCAAGTGGAAGTTTGGGATATGGGTCCCAAGTAGTTGGGATTAAGGCGAGGAAGAAAAAGAAGAAGAAGTAGAGCTTACTTAAAAAAAGTATCGAACATTAATAAATTTAAACTTGTTAAGCAAAAAAGTTTTTAATTCTTTAATTTTAAATATTCATTCCAATTAAATTTTTTAATGACAAAATTTTCATTAAAATGAAAAAATATTAAAAATTGAAAATATAACTTTTTATTTTGATTTTTCCATTTTATAAATAAAATTTGTCTTTAAACAATGTTGTCCAAAATCAATGAAACATTGCATTGAAGTCTGACATAATTGCTGATAAGTCAGAACTCCTTAGATAATTATTTTCACCATCCTATTGGATAACCATTTATCAAACAATAATATTTTAAGTCTTTAAAAAAAATATTAAGTTTTTGAATGAATAAAATAAAATATTTTCTTTTTTATAAAATCAGATTACTATGAGTCAGATGTTGAAGAATCAGTTATGGATACTAAACCATCGATTACTCAAACATCAGACACAACAACATCGTGGCTAAGAGAAGCCAACATGGAAGCGGATATCACTTCCTATACAAACATGTCCTTACTGAAAAGAAATGAATACTTCTTCAAAGTTTGGTACTATGCTAAACAGCTGTTCAAATAATGTCTAGAGACTCTGAAAATTGTCATATAACATCTTTGTGAATTATATTACTTTAATTTTATATAAATTATGAAAGAGCGTATAAACGTTTTATTTTGTCGTTCCCCTAGGCAAAATAAAAATTTTCCCATTTCATAACTTTTCTTAAGTTTTAATGTGATAAACCTGATAACATTGTTATAATTCTTAGGAATTCCCCTCCGCTTTATTTAGGACTTGATTTCATTATTATGATAATGCTATGTTTGATCAATTAATTTGTGGTAATTCTTAAAAATTATAGTTTAGTTTTAGTAACAGTTTGTTATTATACTCTTTTTTCATTTGATTAATAAAATAGCATAATATGATAAATTTTTTGTTATTAAAAATCACATGTTATATAAAAGTGTTAAGATTTTAATTGTTTTAAATAAATATATATGTATATTTTTATAAAATATATTTTTGTTATTTTAGACTGACCTTATGACATGTAATTGAATAATAAGAAAATAGTCTTGGATTTCTACAGATATTTTTATGTTTTATTAAAACAAGAACGCAGCTATTTCTCTCTCTAAAAATATATTTTGATAACCAAGTTAAGAAATTTTCATTGTTCTTATTGTACTACAAAATTAAAATGTTGTATTAATCTGAAATCCCTCCGAAATTTAAGTGATAAAGTAACCAAAATATAAAGGTCAATGAGTAAAAGAAAGTTTATAAAAAAAAAAAGTGAATAAAATTTCAAAATATTCTTTTAGCGCTCTACTCGTTATTGTATTATAGAGTAATAATTTGTGTAGTATAGAAAAAGTAAGGAGTTTAATATAGGCAACATAACTGTATTACATCAGTTACTAGAAAATAATAGCAACAGTATTAGGAGCTTATTAGGTGAACAGTAAAATTGTAATAATGACGTCACTATCACAATTATTGAACAACACGCTGTGGAAAAAACAACGGTCTTACAGAAAGAATAAAGTCATTTTTACTGGCCTGTGACACACAATATGTATCACATAGCGATTTCTCTGAATCGAGCCTTGTTTGAGCGTCTCTTTTTGACACGCTAAGCTGAGCTGCGAAGAGCTTTGGCTTGAGACGATTTGTTTCTATAAATATTAAATGATCTTGCTAAGTTTAGAATCTATCTCTAAAAAGTTAATACACATCATATTAAAGTAATATCGCATAATAGTCAACCTTATAATAAATATTACGATTTATTTTTACAATTTATTTTAATTTATTCAAAGTTCCATTCGTGAGGATTGTATCATTATGTAACCAACACACGTGAGTAATCACTGTTTAAATAAATCAATCCTATTTAACGCATTGGGTGATGGTTAGTATCTAAAATATACTGCACTCGTAGAAATCAAAAACTTTATTAATTACTGAAATAAAAACAATACTAATATCACCTTAATGAAATGTTTAAGTTCAGTAAAATATTTATTAGAGCGCAACAAAAATAAGGAATAGGAGAATTGTCGTAGAAATTTAGTTCAAAACATTGACATGAAATTTATTCTTCTCGAATACAGTAATTTTTACTGTTGAGAGTAATTTTTGAACGAATATTACCAGTTACAAACTTAAAGAAAACATTTTTAATAATCGGTTCCGATATATGGTATTTAATGATAATTAAATAACATTAATTTATGATGATGATTACCATAAATTTAATAGTTGCCAGAGTTTCTTGATTATTGAATATCAAAATTATAGCGAGAACACGAAATTCAACGGAGAGGAGTAAAAAATGGATATCTTCTTCTTTTTCCTCGCCTTAATCTCAACTACTTGGAGCCGGCCACCGTTATTCTAAACATGACCGATATATGTTCTCACAAATAATTTTATCCTATTAAAATAATCATTTTTATGATTTAGCGCGATTATTTTTACTTTTTTTTGTAATTGTCCGGCAAAGCACACAATTTTTTATTTTATCCAAATAAAACATTGTTAACCCTGAAATATATAAGTGAATGTTTTGATTGTTGTTAATAAAATCAGTTATCAAACAATTTTTATTATTAAAATTCGATTCTATTCCAATGGCCTCTTAGAATCTTTTATAAAAATAACATTTGCTTTAACTACTTTTAGCTGATTTGGGGTCGTTAAATTCCCGTATTCTGCTTAGGTTGTTTTTAGTCTTATTTTATATTCACAGAATTTTCCCAATTACATTGAAAAATTCCACAAATTGATCAAAATATTATTTTTATATAGTTTTGACCAATGACTATATAAGTCGTAGTTGTAATAATAATAAAAAACCCATTGTACTCTTTTTTTTTTTTTTCTTTAGAGTTTAAAATTTTACATTTAATATCAATTTTAAGCACATTTTGTTAATACGCCCATGTTCTTTTATATTTATATAGAGAATAATAAACTACATTGACAAATATCCAATATCACGAATTTTGATAAATTAATTTTTTGCACTTAATGTGCAATAATAATAATAATCTTTAAAAATTAATCCTAAAAGAAATATATACTTATTATTTATGTAATTCTTTATTTAATAATATTATGACTTCATTAAAATGTTGCATTTCTGTGGCTTCATTAAAATTGTAGCATTTTAAAATTATTATGAAGTAATAATCTAATTAAGAAAATAATCTGCCAATAACAACTAATAGTAGCAGTGGCGTATTTAGAAATTTATAATGGGGGCACAAAAAATTTTCATGAATAAGGCAACATAAAAGGCCTTTTTATGTTTTGTTCATAACTTTTTTTAACACATATTAGATTTTTTTTTTTTTCAAAAAAATCTGTTATTTGTTTTGAATCCATTTTTATTAATAAATATATTTCTTTTTATACAATGTGTATCTCCACGTAATAAACACTTCAAAATTAGGTGATAACATTAACGAGACAAAAGTGCGACCGTCAAATTTTGCTCCATAAGACAACTATATCGACTAACTTTTTATAAACCTATGTTATTATCTATAATCAAAAAATAACTTTTCATAATGATATTCATGATTACATCGCTTGATAAAATATTTACATGACAGTCAATGGGGGGCACGTGCCCCTGTGCCTCCCCTCAAAATATGTCACTGAATAATAGTATATCGAAATGTATTAAAAAGTGTGTAAAGTAATGGTTGAAAGTGAGTTCGTTTTGTTTTTTTTATCACTAGATATTTTTAAGGCCACACTACTCTAGTCGTCTATTTATATATATGTTAATAACTTCTGATATAAAACCCTACCTGTTTTTAGGTTTTACTATTGAATTTTCAAAGTATATATAAGTGTAGGGTAACTTTATAAAGTTTAATGGATAGAAAATTCATAAAATGAACCAATTCAACTGTGTACAATACAACACCATTGTTTAAATTATTTGTAATATACTATGTCATATTTAAACAAATGAAAGATTATAGATGTAATTTTTTAAAAAACCGAAAAAATTATTTACTTGTTATTTTAGACAATACATAAGAAGTAGGTTTTTAATTACATGGACGTTATAATACATGGAAACAATTTTATGTCCATCTGACATGATGCATAGCATATTTACACAATATATGATTTTTAACAGACTAAAGGTCATATTTTCAAAAAAATTTTGGGAAATGTTTAAAAATTTTAAAAACAGTAAGATCACGTACCTCACTACTAAAACAATCAAGAATCTATTCGATAAGTTTTAATACTATCAATTAATCCAGTTGTTTTCAAAAACTACAGACAGAAATTAATGTTTTTCAATATTATTTGACACTGTCGAACTGTTACAATTTATGATATATATATTTTTTAATTTTACAAAATATATAGTTTTTGGTGACTTTTCTAGATATACTTCTTAAATTAACATTATCCAAAAACATGGTTGTCGCTTGGATTTTGGGGTAATGTAGGATTGCGTCCCTTGATCACTCCCATAAATATGACTCTACTACAAGTTTTTATTTATGTTTATTAAGTTCTTTTAAGTTTATTTTTGTAACTATTTAGGTTGCTTTATGTATACTTAAATCAAAAGTAATTGAATGATACAATACAATTTATAGAAAACGGTCTTTATTAATTCTTTAATTATATCAATTTCATATAAAGGGATTATATATAGAGTTATTAAGACCTTGAGGAAATCATATCCTTGTGTTATATTTAGTTTATTTATCTGTACTATAATTAGATACTTCTCACCCGTTTATATCAAACAAAAATATAATTAGATTTTAAATTTTGCCAATTAAATTCTATAGTTAGTTAAATTTATTAAAAAGTTACAAATTTAATTTTCTATAAACACTAATGTTGTTTAAATTAAATATTTATTGGCACCCTTTTGTAAATTAGATATAGTATCTTTTACAATCATAGAAAAAATGAAAGACTTGGCACAAATAGATAGTCTGACTAATCATTAAAAATAGTAATTTCAAAATCGCATAAGACTTTGAAATTTATGCTATATACATACATTTAGCACTATTTATTGAAGAAATATTTTAAAATGTGCCAATGACAATACCATTAACAATAACTATAGTCTTTAAGTTATAGCTATCAATTTCTATAAATTTATAAATGAATCTATAAATAAAATTTAAAACGTATATGTAAGCAGTTTTTTGTTATTAATTTTACGATGTGAATAATAATTGGATTATTTTTAATACTTAGATTTAGATAATCTTTTAGTTCCAGGTAAGTAGTAATTAATAATGATATCCAGTGAATCTCCCTTTTTATAAATCAAACGTTGTATTATACCAAGTCTTCTTCATCTTCTTCTTCCTCGCCTTAATCTCAACTACTTGGGGTCGGCCACCCTTATCCTAAACTTTTACTTAACACGATCTCCCACATCATCTACACTCGCATCAGTCATCTTCATATCGCATTCAATAACATCCCTACATCTTTTTTTTGGTCTACTCAACCTAATCTTCCTTCAACATTCATTTCTACAACTGCTCTTACGGCTTCCGATTCTTCTCTTCTCCATAATATGACCAAACCATCTAAGTCTATTTTCTCTCATCTTATCCACGATTGACACTACACCTATACTCCCTCTTATATACTCGTTCCTTATCCTATTTGCTTTAGTCACTCCACTCATCCATCTAAGCATTCTCATCTCTGCTCTACTTTCTTATCATCCGCCCAACACTTTGAACCATACATCATAGCTAGTCTCACTACAGTCTTGTAGAATTTACCTTTCAGCCTCATTGGAATTCTTTAATCGCATAATACACTAGACACTTCTCTCCTCTTCAACCACCCGCACTTAATCCTGTGTCTTACACTCTCGTCAATACCACCGCTCTTTTGCACAACTGATCCTAAATACTTAAAACTTTCCACCTCTCCAAGTATGTTTATAAAAAAAGTATTATTCAGTATCACTAGAGTAATAATTTTTTATTCGTGTTGTTAGTATTATTGATACAAGGATCGAGGGTTAAGATACAAAATCATTGAGTATGAAAATGGAAGAAAAAAAATTGAATACTTCAAAATGATTACTCGTTGCCCATAAAATAGAATACTAAATTAGAGAAACGTTTTAAAGAGTTTCACGGTAAAATGGAGTAATCGTTTTGGTTTTAATGGAATTTATTTTATAAATAAACGACCAATGTGTGCGAAATATTAATACATCACAATAAAATAGGTTATTGTTTTGACAATAGTTAATCAACGGCACCCATACAGTTAAAAACGCGCTTGAACTTGACTCGACGCCGACGTTAACTCGTTTGACCGGTAGAGAGCGCTCAGGCATGCCTTTCAAAACTTGCGCCGTCGTCGCCGGACGAAAGTTTCCCGGTGCCAGCCGACAGACGTACCGCGGGTGCCCGACCGACTGAACGCTGCTCCTTCACGCCGAATATGAGCCGCGTGTGATACAACAACGTCATAAAAACATTGTTGGTGTTATCGTGATTATCTAGTTACGATTGATTCCGCGTGCCGTATCATTTGGCCACGTATAGCCGAATAGCCGGAATGATTACGAGTTCTCTATACTAAGCTTTTGTCGTCTAATCAAATTTCGTCAGACGAAATTCAACAGAGCCGTCAGCTTTATGCGATAACAATTGACACGATGGTCGCTTCGTATCAGGTAAGCGTCAACTATCAGCTGCTATTATTGTTGAATCGGGCCAGTGTCACAACCGACTTCTAAAAACTGCCCGAGAATGTTCGGGAATTTCGACATACACGTTCTTGACCGGCGAATCGTGTTCCGGTGGTCGGCGGGCGGGGGCGAAGGCAATCGATCGGCCGCCGGGTATAACAGCTGCCCTCGTGCTCGCCACGTGATTGTATGGTAGTGTAGGACGGATGCTCGCCATCACCATGGTTACTGCAACACAGAGTTGTGGTGCCGGTGGAAACGCAGAGGAAAACGGCAACAAACCCGAGGGAGCTAGGTCCGGATTTTATGGCTTTTTTGTGGGGAATCGTCAGCTGTCAACATCGCATTAAACATTAGCGGTTAGTCACCGCGGAGGGCAAAAAGCGAATTTTCCCTATCGACCGTACCGTAAAACTATGTTAAGTATTGTTTTTCTCTATTCCGGCAACCAAATGATCATTATCACTGGTTTTTATATGGATTCCATACGACATAAAAACCCGTATGCCTCAACCCATTTAGCGCGAAAACAATTATTATCGTTGGTTGCTTAACTATCACATTATTGTGTCGCACCATTACGTTGAAAAATTCTCATTTACAGGTGCGCCGTACAATTATTTTAATCTATTCGTACGTACATTTTCAGTGTTTAACTACCGTCGAAAGGTTGCATTTGAATTGGCAATGTTTTCATATTATGTTCATCTGTGAGCGGTTATTATATTTTTACGAATCATTTTCTGGCTCGTTGTTATATCGCGGGCACCTTCAGTACAAATGAAATTGTCAAGAGATAATCCCTTGGCTGACATATTTTTGATTTTATTTAACTTTTAATTGGAAAAAATTTTAGTATCAAAAAATAGAATTGTATAAGATGTTAAAACTTAAAATCATATATGATTGTAAATAAAACCGTTATAGTTAAAAATTTAAGTATATCCGATGTCTTAACGGGGCCGACTATAATGCTAGTGATTATTTTACCAAAAATAAATGTTATACCTGGTAGTTACTGGCTAGAACATGATATTTGTCAAGTAAATTTATCATCATTATTGTTTACACTGTTCATACTTTTTATTCAGAAATAAGTGGGCTGACATATAAAAGACTACTAGTGCCGCCTACGTCGTGAAGTAGACACACTTTGCTATGAGTATGAATTTCTTATAATTATTAATAGATTCGGTGGAAGAGAAGCGTTCGTGTAGTTTACCAAAGAGAATAATTCAATTGTGTGATAAAAACGGTTAACGTGTACCATAGTGTTCTATCTTGCAATATGTTTGTAATTATAATTTTTTTTTGTACCGAGACCGGAATTAAAACGTACTAAACGAAAGGGACGACAGTAATATTTTTAGACGGCTAAGTTAAAACAGTTGGCCGAGAGGTTGATACGAATATAAACTCGCTTGTACGGATAGACTACCAGTGGAGTGAGTCGGTAAAAAGTGAAAGTAAAACAATGTTGTGTGTAAAATCATACTAATAATCGAGTAGTTCAATGGTAAGCGTATGAAAATGAAATCTTTAATTTACGTGTTGCCCAAAATGACACCACACTGTTTACGTTTTACATTTTTGTTTGATAACCTTAAAGTTACAAAGTCACGGACAAACTCGGTAGATAATCGTATTTCTGAGCAAATTTTGCTATGTGTTTTGATAATATTTTTTTGTGTAGAATAACGTCGTGTCAGGATCTGGTCACCTATTAGGATGTAAACGTTCATTAGTAATGGTATATGGTTTGACCTAATTCCCCTGTATAGCAATTAACGGAATTAAACCTTTTGAAAGAACTCTGTACGTTGTCAATTGTTTTAATCTGAATACCGACCAATGTGTTTCATGTCATATTACTGCTTAGGCGGTCCAAAAAACTTACAACAATTAGACCTAATAAACAAGGGTCAATAGATACGTTTTCTTTTTTGTTTAAAAACGAAATGTTGCTGTTCGTGGCTAATTCTTTTCTGATAAGTCGTGTATAGTTTTTAACGAGAAAAAAACTCATTATTATTAGTATTCAATGGAAAGAAAACGTTTCCAGAATACTCTGTAAATAAAAAGTATTATAAAAAATATTCGAAAATTAATGGATAACCTAAATAATATGTATTTGACTATTTGACAAGTAGATGTTTAACAATTAAGACCTATACCATTAGTATTTAACAGAAATTTAATCGAATAAAGCCGTAAATATATACAGGGTGTTCAGTAAATAAGGAAACGAATTTCTATTGTACTCATTGTTTGTAACAATTTAACTGTTTCCTAACTTACTGAACACCCTGTATATAAACTTTTAACGTAAACGTAATTAGGCTATTTTGTATATCTTGTGGATTAATAGATCTATTTCAAAACAAAGAATAATTTAGAAATCACTTTTTGGCTGGGCGATTTAACAAAAACATTTTTCACACATGGTTCAATCCTCTAGTCTCTAGCTAATGTATATTAGCAGGCCTAATGTCACATTATCCAAATGTGTGTATTAATAGTTTTAACCCTCTTTATTTGTTCTTTTTCTGAGTGTAAATAAAACTGACGTTGTATATTATAAATCAAATATTTAAGGAAACAATTGACTCTAGAACCCTAAAAATTCTATTCACGTACCAAACTTAAGAAACAGGGTGAGGATATATTTTGCTTTGCACAAGAGACACGTTTATAAAAAATAACTTAGTTGCTATAATGTATTTAAAACTCTTTCAGGTATGAAATTTATTGAGATTTAAAAAATAAAAATCTCTATAGATAATTTAAATTAGATTGTTGCGGATTGAAAAAAAGTTAAACAGGTTCTTTTTAATAACACTTACAGTACGTACAATTATTTCAAAATTATTTTATGAAATCGTTACACAAATTATTTGAGACAATTTTTATAAATTATTAATTTTTCATTACATTACGCGTTTAATAATATTTTGATTGTGTGCAAATCATTAAAATTATTATTATTGTTTTAAGAACAATAAATAATTGATCGCTAATATTATTAAAATCTTAAGTAGTTTTATTTTAAATACAGTAAATAATTTCATTAATAATTAAAAATGTCTTATTATTTTTAAATGGTATTAAAAAAATTTTTCTAAGAATCTTAAGTCGATTCTAATTGACTGATAAATGAATTGTTTTGGTCGTATGGTTCATGTTTAAAACATCAAATAGCTATGATATTAAGCTTATACTAAGTAAATAGCTGATTTGACTGATACGAGAAAATATTTTAAATGGCCTTGAAATTTACTAAGCGTGAAGTATAGATAATTATAAATTTTAATTTGGAAAAACAATACGAAAATAACCAGTAGTTGAAAACGTATCTCAACCTAACTGTTTTATTCTTCTATATATTAAACAATTTTTTATTTTATTTAAATATTATTTTATTAATTAAAAAAAGATTTCGCGAAATATGTTACCTATTTATAATTTGATGAAATACAAAAGTAATTACAATTTTAAAAGTTATTTAATTAAAAAAAATATGTATTAAATAACTTTTTTTCAATTATTCAAGCACTTAATATATGAAGGATACACAGGAAAAAAAGGTAAGTCATTCTTTTAACCTGAAAAATCAAATTTTAAATTTAAAAACGCCATGTTGTTTTACATTACCTCATAACTTTCGAACAGTCTACTTTTCCAACAAGTTTAGCGACTTAAAAGATATGTTATGACGTATTGAATATTTTGTCATCAAAATTTTAATTTTGAAAAAATAGACTTGCCTTGTTTTTACATGTACCCTTCGTATGCATCATATCCAATGTTTATAATTTGAGCCTGACAAAAATATATTATCTATTTATTTTGTATAGGATCAGGATTGGTAAAAAACACTTTTTTTTTTAAGTACAAAACCTGTAAAAAAATTAAGTTAACAATTTAATACATTTAAAATATCCCATAAAACCAATGTAACTTTTTTTATTCTTAATATTAAGTACATGTGAAACGTAACAACCCCGGTAACGATCTAATAATATTGTTCGAATTTGTCTTATATTCTAGTTGTGTACAAAAAAAGTAATAAAAAAAATTATATAATGAATAGTTAATTTCTAAGTTTATTAGAATTAAATTTGTTTGAATTGTTTATTATTATCCCTCTAGTTACATTAGATTTTTAATAAACAAATATGTATTTCTGTGAGCGATTATTTTTGTATTAATTTATATTTTAAAACTATTTGTTTGTTTCGATAATTTTCACTTATATTTTTTTGTATAATTGGTACTATTTAAGTCTACTGATTTATATTTTCAATTTTCTGTTGCAATTCTTAGCAACTATACTAATTACCTCTTTCTCTCGTGTTTATCTAAAGTCTTATCAAAGATATCAATTGGTTTATCACAATTTATCCTATTAGTATTATGTATCTTATTTCATATTATTTAAATTTTAATCATTAAGTTCTTTTCTCAATTATTTAAGTTCTTTATGTTACTCTATAGACTTTTATTTTTATAGAATTATTTAGTCCTTTTTTTTTATAATAATTAAATAATTTTTTCATATTTACGTTTAATATTTTATTACGTGTCTAAAATTAGTTGTAAGTACACGTTCTATAGAATTATTCTTATATTCAAGTGGATAGTTGTAGATAATTATGTGAAGATTATAAATTCATTGTTTTTATGATATATTTATTTCTTTATCTTCACTATGTAAAATATTATTCAGAAATGGCATCATAATTACATAAGTTACAAGTAATTGTGTAAATTCACAAGCTTATTAAAATCGTGTTCAGATCGTATATCATATGGCCTAAATCTTCCCAAACATATGTCATACACTTGTGTGTTGTTACTATTTGAAGTCTCTTAACTGGTTGATTTTATTCATGTGAATAAATTGATTTACAATTTGATATACCTACCATAACTCGAGTGAATTATTCTGTTGTTACTGCAGTTTTATTATAAGTCTAGTGCCAATC